TATGAAATGTGATGGTGTCCCCTTCCCCCAGCCCCTTCAGATTATCATCTCAGTACTTCTTACGACAGGACTAACCTCTCCCTCTAGTTCCTGTTACTGCATGTCTAAAATTTCGTTTGCTCAACCCCAGGTTGAAGGGTTTCTGAGAACTAGCAGGGAGGCTGTTTGGCTCAGCCTTGCATCCACAAAAGGGCTGGAAGGCTGTGGACACTAACTCCAAAGTCAGACACATGGTCACTGAGATACTGACAGGGTGGAGAAGATGCTCCACCACGAATTACAATCTGGACCCCCCTTGGATCTCCAGGACTATAGGTACTATAGTTTTGATGGTCACTTTAAAATCCTGAAACTGCCTCATGAAAAGCACAGACTCCTTTGCACTTTTATTTGTTAACCACATTGATTTATTACATGTAAACTTTTATAATTTACCACCATTTCTCCCCTATTTTGGCCTTTCTTTATTTAAAAAAATAATAATAAAACAAGTCTCTCAAGACCCTGGAAGCATCCAACACTTTGCTCCACTCTGAGAATCCCTCCTCTCATCTCTCAAGAAAGCTGTTTCTTCATTGGTGTGTTGATGCCAGAAAGGTCTTCCCGATGATGAAGTAAAATCACCTCCCTGCTTGTCCCACTGGGGTCCTGAATCGATCACTGGGGCTGCCTGGAACAGCTGTGCCCTTGGAGCACCTCTTGGTGGTCACGTAAATGTATCTGACCCACTTCAAGGGTTGAGGCAAGCACAGGAGAGGAGGGTGGTTGCTAATGCAAGATATCAATTCTAATGTCAACAAATTGGCTCTAGGTATCAGTCAATATGACTTTGGCACATGCTCCAGAGATTCTGATTCCAGGGATATGGGGTAAGGGGGCCCCACCATCACTACTACCCCAGGTGACCACAGTGTAAGAAGCTCTGGCTTAATCCTTACTCCCTTGGAACATCTGCCTGGCCTACCCTCCCCTGCGCCCCAGCAGATTGGCAGCTGGATGTCTCACACATCAGGCAGAAAACCTGGTGTGGTGCTCACCATGGTGGCACCTGCTGTGGCTGGATTTATTACATGCCCACATAACCTTCTATTCTATAACCTTCTGAGAATGACTGTTTCCACAGATACGCTCATGTACCAGGCTTGGAAGGCTTCGAGGAGCCGGCGAAACGTTCATCTTCCCTGACAAGCATGCACATCCTTCTAAATGTGGCCTGGCCTTTTTCTCTTGAGGAGAAGCTCTGGGCCTCTCAAGCTGCCCCTTCATTCTCATCCTTCCAGGGCTCAGCCCTGTCCTCAGTAGATCACTTATAGAGGGCCCCCCGACAGATGCACTTATAAAAAAGCACAAGAGGTAGGCACTAACAGCCAAGAAGGAACCGCGACATGCCCTGCCCAAGAGCCAGGAGCAGGCAGGGCAAGGCCTGGATGTTTGCCTGCTCAGCTCTCTCAGGTTCAGGAAAAGGAAGGGAGCATGGCAGGAGAAGGCACAGACCCACTGCTAGCTCACAAGTTGCCTCTGGACATACTGACATGGTGTCCTCTCTGGGCAGGTGTAGGCCATGTCAGGGTGCATGGTTTGGTGGGTGGTAGAGAGGCTGCATTCCAGCATCTTACTTGACCCTCTAGCAGATGTCCTTGGACAGTGAATGACTGGAAGAACTTTAACAGCCCTGCTCAGAGAGAACAGCAAGAGGAGGAGGAATAGAACAAGGAAGGCCACCATGCACATTCAAGGGCCACCACAACTGCCCCCTTACCCTCTTTCCACTGGGTCTACCCAGAAGCCCTATCCTCCAGATCAGCCCCCACACAGCCACTACAGTAACATCCAGCCCTGTCTTTCACCTGGATTGTCTGTTCACATGCCATCCAGCCTTCAAGGCTTTTGCAAGTCCTCCTCTGCCAAGAAGCTTGCCCTTTGGGAGGTGCACAACGCTCTTCAGATCTGCTCCCTTAATAGGCCCTCAACACCTATCTAGTTCTAATGCCACACCTCCTCTCCTAGAGGACTATCGGCCTGCTGCACACTCTGCAGAGCCCCTGGCACAGGGTGGCATGCAGTAGGCTGTCAGTGAGTATTTGTTGATGATTGTGATGGAGAAACATGGAGTAGGGGCTGACAGGACTCCTAAGTCTGGCCTAATTTGACCACCAGTGATCCCTAAGGTAACCCAATACAAAGACCTCCCCATCTCCCACCTCAGTTTCCCGTGTATGAGGTGCAGTGGAAAGATGAATAATCTCCAAAGGTTCTGCTGGCACTGAACCCTGGCTTACAAGACTCAGAGCCCATGATCCTCATCAGCCAGGTTTATCACCCCTCTTACCCCAGTGTCCAGCACAGGCAGTCAACATAGCCAATGAATTACTTCAAAATAACACAAGCAGAAGTCTCTATGCTTCAGCAACCTGAGGGTTTCACTTGGTGTTTTATTTATGTAACCACAGACACTAATCCTGGCCATCTGAAGTAGAAAAGCCCCACTAAGGAACAGAAGGCTGGAGAACCAGGCTCGGAAAGCAGGCACAATCAGCGCAGGCCCTGGGAAGAGTTCAGTCAAGACGTCCACTGGTTCCTGGCCACCTCTTTCACCACTGGTCACTGGCTCTTCTGGGTTGTTGCCATGACACAGGTGAACCCTGGACTGTCACCAGCTCTGAGCCTAAATTCCAAGTGGGGCAGCCAGTTGCCTGTACTAAAATCATATGGCCACATCTTAATTGCTAGGAATGGGGAAGGGGTTCTCAGGCACTCAAATTTCTCAACAGGACAGCTCTTCAGGTACCTGTCAGCCAAAAAAGTAACACGGTCAAACCAATTCTCTCCTCCAGGAATTTGGAAAAGCGTTTGTTGTAGTGAGTTGAAATAGTGAATGCTATTTCCATTAGATATGTCCACCCAGAACCTCAGAATGGGACCTTATTTGCAGATATAATTAAGCAAGGGCTGTAAGATTAAATCATCCTGGATTAGCTGGGCCCTAAATCAAATGGCAAGTGTCCCTGTAAGAGACAAAGAAGGAAAAGACACAGAGGGGAAGGCCATGTGAAGAAAGGAGGCAGAGATTGGAGGGATGCAGCTGCCAATCAACGAATGAACAGCCAAGATGGCCAGGAGCCATCACCAGAAGCTGGGAGAGAGGCATGGAGCAGATTTTCCCTCAGAGCCTCCAAAAAGGAGCCATCTCTGCCAACACCTTAATTACAGATTTCTGGCCTTTTGAACTGTAAGAGAATAAACTTCTGTTGTCTAAAATCACCCAATTTGTGGAATTTTGTTGTGGCAGTCCAAAGAAAGGAAGCTGATGTAGGCAGAGAAGTAGAGGCCAGGGGCAGAGAGAGGACCCCTTGCTCCTGCTGGTTCACACAAGCCCTTGAAGCCCTTGGGTTCTTGAGATGCCCCGGTATTCATCCAACAACTGCCCTTTCTTGAGTGAGCTGGTTGAAGCCACTTTCTGTGACTTCTAATAAATCTCTAGCCCTTATATATGACTGTGTCCTAGCCTTCTGCCTAGGTCAAGGGTACTTGCAGGGTGCAATGGGGGAAGGGGATGGCTGGGGAGAGTCCTATAAGCCAGAAGGCAAGCGCTGGTCAGTGAGCCCAAGTGGGCATTGCCTCTCCACAGCCCCCTTCCACAAAGAGGCCAATGCCCCCCACACAGAGTCAGCTAGGCTCCCAGGGCAGCAGGCCAGGCTTCCCGCCTGAGGCTACCACCTGGAGATCAGGGGAGGGGGCTGGCACTTTGCTGAAAGCTGCTCATTTTGTTTCTAATCCCTCATCCCATAACCCAGTGCTGTTCCTTACTGTTATCTCCCAAGTACAAAGCTGGGCAATGTCTGAGCCTGTGTTGCTCCTGGGTGGGTGTAGGCCAGCAGAGAAAAGTGACTCCTGACACGCAGAGAGAAGACCTGCTGGAATAGGCGACTTTAAGACACCAAAGGCAGGAAAAGGTTTGGAGAAAAGCGGTTCCACCGTGCACCTGCTGCCCGCCACGGGCCAGCTCTCTCTCCCTCCAGAGAAGCTGGATCCCCTGGCTGGCTCGCCCTGAAAAGGGCTACAGAGGCTGCAAGCAGGGCTCCGAGAGACGGTGAGCAATGGAATTCTCGGGGCATGGGGCGGGCAAGGTCTCAGGAACACGGGAGAAAATGAGTCTTGTGCTTCTGTTACCTTAAGAATCTTAGGGTGACTGTTGGGGGCAGAGGTGTGGAGGAGGGTGGAGAAGGGAAGGGGAAAGAAGGGAAGGGTGAAACCAAGACTCAAGGCAACCTGGGAAATCACCCGATTCTCTTTTCCACCCTCCTCTCTGCACTCCCCAGATGAAGGTCAAAAGATTCTTTCCCGTTTCTTCATCAACCTGTATAGAGCAGCGACGCTTATCCTTGCCCTGCTCCCTTGGCTCTGGCATGGCCTTTCTCCAGTCTATTTGAAAATGATTTACACCCTGTTCAGCAGGTGCTGCCTATTTAGTGTCCAACGAACATGATCTCTGATCACCCTCCACAGGTAAACTTGTGTCTAATTTTACAGATGCGGAAAGGGAGGCTCAGAGAAGTTAAATTACTCGTCCAAAGTCACCCGAACATTCAGCAGCTGGCGAGGGGATGCGAACCCAGACTCCAAGTCCCCTCCAGGTTTCCACTACTCACTGGGCGGCTCACACTTTCGCGCTCGCGCCCCGCCTCCCCATCCCACCCCAGCGAGGGGCGCCTAGCCCGCCCCGAAAGGAGCGTGCCTCGGCCGCTAATCGCCCTCAGCCCCCGCCTCCGTTTCACTGCCTGGAGACACCCCGGCCAGCTTAGCCCGAGCCGACTCCCGGGGCCGCGCGACGCCGCCGATTGGCCGGCGGTAATTACGGGCACACTCCGGGTGGGGGGAGGGGCGGGGGCGGCCTCCCGCGAGCATAAATTATGCAAATACCCGAGCGCCGCACGGGGATGACCTGCCGCCTAGCTCCATTCATAAGGGCTGCCGCGGGGGCGGAGGTGGCAAGGGAGGGGGGCGCCCATTGTTACGCCGGGTACTTAAGGGGTCCTGAGGCCGGTCGTGTGCCACACTCGGTGCTCACACGAGCTGATCTGATCGCCGGCGACATCACTCGGGAGACCCGCCGGGCGCGTGGTCCCTGCAGGCGAGGCGAGCAGGCGAGGCCAAGTTCCCCGTGCGTCCCTGAGCCCTTCCAGGCTCTCACTCCCGCATCTGGCACAGAGTAACAACCCCAGGCCGTTGGGAACGTAAGTGCGCCCTGGTGGCTCTGCCCTCAGTCCGGGCTGCAGCACTCTGAGCGCCTTTCTATCCTTCCGTCGGTCCTGCTCAGCGCAACGATGCCAGCCCCTCTGGAGACCTGCATCTCCGACCTCGACTGCGCCAGCAGCAGCAGCAGCAGCAGCAGCAGCAGCAGCAGCAGCAGCAGCAGCAGTGACCTGTCCGGCTTCCTCACCGACGAGGAAGACTGTGCCAGGCTCCAACCGCCAGCCTCCGCCTCGGGGCCGCCCGCGCCGGTCCGCAGGGGCGCGCCCAGTACCTCCCGGGCGTCGGAGGTTCCAGGGGCCCAGGACGAGGAGCAGGAGCGGCGGCGGCGCCGCGGCCGGGCGCGGGTGCGCTCCGAGGCACTGTTGCACTCGCTGCGCAGGAGCCGGCGCGTCAAGGCCAATGATCGCGAGCGCAACCGCATGCACAACTTGAACGCGGCGCTGGACGCACTGCGCAGTGTGCTGCCCTCGTTCCCCGACGACACCAAGCTCACCAAGATCGAGACGCTGCGCTTCGCCTACAACTACATCTGGGCTCTGGCCGAGACACTGCGCCTGGCGGATCAAGGGCTCCCCGGAAGCGGTGCCCGGGAGCGCCTCCTATCACCACAGTGCGTCCCCTGCCTGCCCGGACCCCCAAGCCCCGCCAGCGACGCGGAGTCCTGGGGCTCAGGTGCCGCCGCCTCTCCCAGCGCCGCCGCCGCCTCCCCACTCTCTGACCCCAGCAGCCCCGCCGCCTCCGAAGACTTCACCTACGGCCCCGGCGACCCCATTTTCTCCTTCCCAGGCCTGCCCAAAGACTTGCTCCACACGACGCCTTGTTTCATCCCTTACCACTAGGCCCTTTGTAGACACCGTTACCTTCCCCCTCCCCTAGTCAGCAGGCAATAGATGGGGCACCAGCTGCCGCCTCCTCGGGACCCTCTCTCCAGGCGGAGGGAGGAGGCGGGAGCTTTGAAGGGGTCGGGGATACCTGAGCCGCTTGTTAGGTCACCGCACCCTGGCTGCGGCTGCCTCTTGGTCTGGTCTGTTTCTCCAGCCCTCAGCCCCGGGCCCCTCCTGCCCGTCCCTAGACGGCCTTTCCTTTTGCACTTTCTGAACTCCACAAAACCTCCTTTGTGGCTGGCTCAGAACTGACCCCAGCCACCACTTCAGTGTGATTTAGAAAAGGGACAGATCAGCCCCTGAAGACGAGGTGAAAAGTCAATTTTACAATTTGTAGAACTCTAATGAAGAAAAACGAGCATGAAAATTCGGTTTGAGCCGGCTGACAATACAATGAAAAGGCTTAAAAAGGAGAGACAAGGAGTGGGCTTCATGCATTATGGATCCCGACCCCCACCACTGCAGGCTCGCTCTAGGAAGAACTGGAGACTCTTGCTTAGCTATTCAGGCACCGGGCTGGAGAGTACTTTAATTTATTCAAGATGCTTCATTCATATGAAAATGTATTTTTGTACATAAAGAGTTTATTCTATTATGAGCTGTCAAAGTTTACGTTTGTACTGCAGATGCTTCATGTAAATAAAAACGAAAAAAATAAGTCACCAAGTTTCTTGCCTAATATTGGTGTCTCTGGGGCTTTTCTTGCTTTTCCCTGGTGGCTCAACCACTAAAGTGAAACACTATCCCCACTCACCTCCAAAGCCTCCAGTCCTGTTTCAAAAACAATTAAAAAATAAAACGCACCTGATTTCCACCAAGAAACGGATAAAGACAGACTAGGGCATTTGGGATCCATCATTTTCTTTCACCTTGTAAACACAAGGGAGATCTTTCAGGCTCCCCATAAGCCAATTAAGACTTTTTAGTAGAGAATTAGCCCCGGATCCACAGCTACCTGTTGAGGTAGAGGCAGTGGGAGAGTCTTTCTTTTGAGGAGCTCCACATCAGCTGGCTCTGTGTTTCAAAGAGAGGGGATTAAAAAGATCAATACAGTGTGACCACTGGTTAGGAAGTCACAGTGACAGGTGGGCCAAGGCTAGGCAAGCAGAAGGGTCCACTCTTATAACAGCCTATTTAGAGGGGGAAATTAATTTGTAAACAATGCGTCCAAATTGTTTTCCATTGAGTCTGGATTCACCCTGGCTGTGAGGTATGGGATGAATTATGCTGGTGTGGTGTCCTGAGTGGGGTGTATAGCTGCCTAATATTGTCAGCTAGGGTGCCTGCATTCTCCTCAGCCCCCATCCCCCCAACACACACACACACACACACACACACACACACCACTCTCTGTGGCCCACAGTGTTGGGGGAGGCACACACAGGGAGGGCTCGGGTGCAGGGCTTGCTCAGCCAGGCCTCAGGGGCAATAGCTAAAGCTTTCATTTGATGCCAGAGAAATCAGCTGCCCAAACTCAGTGGGGATTTTTCTGGCTGCAGTATGTTTGTCTGTTGTCTTACAATTAGCTAACAGCACCAGCTAGTAGCAGTTTTTGTTTTAAATTTTTAGAATGTGGGTAATTACAAGAGGTAGTTCCTAAAATGCTTTTACTGACATTTCCTCAGCTCACAAGTTACTGTATGTTGCTCAGACCAGATCTCAGCCAGGCACTGTGGCTCACATCTGTGGCTCACATCTGTAATCCCAGCACTTTGGGAGGCCCAGGCATGTGGATCACTTGAGCTCAGGAGTTCGAGACCAGTGTGGACAACATGGTGAAACCTCATCTCTACAAAAAACACAAAAATTAGCCAGCGCGGTGATAAGCACCTGTGGTCCCAGCTACCCAGTAGGCTGAGGAGAGAGGATCGCCTGAGCCCAGGTAGGCAGAGGCTGCAGTGAGACCTGATGGTGCTACTGCATTCCAACCTGGATGACAGAGACCCTGTCTAAAACACACACACACACACACACACACAAACAAAAAAACCAGGTCTTTTTTTCCACTGGGTTCTTCTTTTCCTGAATATAATAATTTATTGGCAAGGGTGCGGGGAAGGTGAGAATGGGCTCAGGAAAATGAGTCCTGAACACAAAGCTGGTAGAGTGAATGATATTGATAGAGAAATTACATTTGTGTAGGAGGCATATAGAAACAGAGGGCCAGAGTACAGCCACTGATGGCAGGTTCTACTTATGAAAGCATTTTCCCTCCTCACATGTCATCATGGTGAGTTGGAGCCACAGATCCACACACTAGGTCCCTGAAGGCATCACTAAGCCTAGCCATTGGGAAGGCACCCACCTTCAGATACAAAGGCTACTTTGCAGAAGTTTCTGGGAAGTTGAATACCTTCTCTAATTGCCTCCAGAGAGACAAAGTCATCCAAGAAAATCTTCAAATTGCTTCTTCTAAGAGCTCCAAGGAAAAAGTTGTGTCTCTCAAATAACCCAGTCCAGGGTCTCTATTGTCTGTCTCAGAATTGATTCACTTGACTAGCTTTGTGTTTTCTGTTTTCCTAGCACAAACAGCAAAATGGTCTGCAACAGATTTTCTGCTCTCCCATGCACAGGATGCTTGAATTGACTTCCTCTAGCTTTCCAAAGGGCCCAGGCCAGGTTCGAGAAGGGCAAGTCTTCTGTGGAGAGGAGAGTCCAGCCATAACATAGGCACACATGTCTGGGACAGGGAAAGAGAACAACAGATTGTGTCCTGATTATTGTCCAAGCACTGGCAAACAGCTGGATCAGGGGCTTTGTCTCATACAGCTAGCTGCATATGGGCAGCACTGAAAGCAGGGGAAAGACCATTACCACTGAGACTGAACATAGCAAACTGTATCCTCAAGTTTGTTGCCACCATAGGCCCACAACTCAAGATGTAGGCCCCAGAGCACCTTTCCAAAAAGAGAAGTCTTTAACAACATTGCTGGTTGGGGGGCATCTTTACCCCTGCCAGTTAATACTATTCTTCTAAGGAAGTAAGCATATATGTGCAGCTTTTAGAATTCTCAAATGGGGAAAAGAAGGACAGTGGTTAAAAATGCTTATCCCCACCTCAGGGACCTCTTTCTTCCTGCAACAAATTCTCATTCATCTACAGAAACCTGTGAAGGTAGGGGGTGGGATGGGGGTCAGGGGGTAAGAGAAGAGCGGGCAGGTTACTAAAATATTCTAAACAATGATAGAACATAGACCTCCCTGGGACAGCCATGTCTCTATCCTCCACATAATCTTCAGAAACCTTCTTCATTCTCTACCTTAATCTCTAAATTTATTTTTGCTCTGGTTTAACATATGGCTTTGCTTTTGTTTTTGAGACAGAGCCTCACTCTGTTGCCCAGACTGGAGTGCAATGACATGATCTTGGCTCACTGCAAATTCCACCTCCCAGGCTCAAGCAATTCTCCTGCCTCAGCCTCCCAAGTAGCTGGGATTACAGACACACACCACCACGCCTGGCTAATTTTTTGTACTTTTAGTACAGACAGGGTTTTCCCATGTTTGCCAGGCTGTTCTTGAACTCCTGACCTCAGGCAATCCACCTCTCTTGGTCTCTCAAAGTGCTGGGATTACAGGCAAGAGCCACCACACCCAGCCAACATGTATATTTGTATATACTTCTTCCAAGCCTTTGTGAAAGCAGGGAAGGGAAGATTAGGATAAACTAATAAAATGAGGATTCCACTCATTCTCTTATTTCTTTAATGACTCTTTATCAAGCCCCTACTATACGCTGAGCACCTTTCTAGGCACTGGAATAACCAGGACAGACAAAGTTCTTGACCCAAAGGAGCTTTCATTCTAGTGGGGAAAGGCAAAATAAATTTATGAAAGATTGCAGTAAGTTCTGAGGAGAAAAAATAAAGCAAAAGAAGGTGGCTATGGAATGCCAGCGTGGGAGAATAGTTGCTCTTTTAGAAAAGATAGTCAAGGAAGTTATTTAAATGTAAGGTTACATTTAAGCAAAGGACTGAATGAAGACAGGGAGTGGGGGATGTCATGCCAATATCTCAGGTGAGGGGAGAAGGCCCAGCAGGGGGAAAGCCCTGGCCAGCAGTGTATTAGAGGGGCAGCAAGGAGGCTGACATGGCTGGAACAGCAGGCATGCTGTGGGCAAGGATTGAGGGATCTGTGGGGATCGCTCCCGTGTGAGGCCCCTAGGAAATGGGCCTCACCATACAGTGAGCTTGAGCCTGGACACAGATCCCCGGTTGGCGGAGTCGAGCTGAGGGAAAGCAGGAATTGAGAGAGGGACTATGTTATTCAAAATAATTACCAGACATTACTTTATGGATAAGAGGACTTGGGAGGCATTGTGTCCACTTTCGGCTCCTTATGGTTTATTGTCTCATTGTGTTCATTTTGGACCTTTGTTACATTCATTGTAAAATATTAACTTAAGTATATACTGGGTGTAACTTACTTACCGTAACTTACTGGTTGTAACTTACTTACCTTGACTTACCGGGCGTAACCTACTTACTGGGCGTAAATTACTTACTGGGTGTAACTTACTTACTGGGCGTAACTTATTTAGTGGGCTTAACTTGCTTACCTTGTGACTTGACTTAAGTATTTTGATATGATGTAAACATTAAGCAGAAAACTATATAATGGAACCTACTGCAAAAATAAAATTGCTGCATGGGCATAGCTCACGTGGCCCTCCAGACCTCGCTCTTTTCTTTCTCCTTTTTTCCGATGCATGCTCTCTTCCAGGTTTGGGACCCTTGCTGGAAGAGATTCCTGGGCTCACATTCAGTTCACAACAAAGGATGGCCTAAGAGATGATGATATCGTTTGGCTGTGTCTCCACCAAAATCTCATCTTGAATTCCCACGTGTTGTGGGAGGGACCCAGTGGGAGGTAATTGAATCATGGAGTCAAGTCTTTTCTGATCCCATGATAGTGAATAAGTCTTGTGAGATCTGATGGTTTCAAAAAGAGGAGTTCCCCAGCCCAAGCTCTCTCTCTTTGCCTGCTGCCATCTGTGTAAGATGTGACTTGCTTCTCCTTGCCTTTCACCATGATTGTGAGGCTTCCCCATCCATGTGGAACTGTAAGTCCAATTAAACCCCTTTCTTTTGTAAATTGCCCAGTCTCGGGTATGTCTGCATCAGCAACATGAAAACTGACTAATACAGATGGGGTGCACAGTAAAATCACAGTGAGCCTTGTACACTATTATGAGGACTTCAGGGGTTTTTCCTCAAGGTGATTGGAGGGCTGAAAGCAAAGATGTCCTAAGGCCACACTGGTTGTTATATGAATGATAGATGCTGAGGCCAGGGCAGAATAAGGGACCTAACTAAGCATCTGAACATTAGTCCTGAAGAAAGGAGTACATAGTGTAAAGCTGGTGAAAAGTGGTCAGGACCAGGATACACTCTGAAGATAGAAACACCAAGATTTGTTGTAGAGCATGAAAGAAAGAGAGGAATCAAGGATGGCTTCAAGGATTTTAATTAGGAGCAATGTGGATACAGGACCCATCACAGAAAGCCCTCTACAGACAGGGGATTTTGCCTGAAATGCTCATTTTAGTATCTAAAACAAAGATAGAAACATGAGTCTCCAGGTCTGTATTAGTCCATTTTCATGCTGCTGATAAAGACATACTTGAGACTGGGCTATTTTTAAAATAAAAAGATTTAACTGG